TGTCCCTACCAGGTTAAGGCCAAGCCCGAACTTCGTCGGTCAGCCAAAGTTCAAGGGGGATACTACGAACCGACCTGGACAACATCTAGTTCCGAACATTCTTACCAACCAACCTCACTCTGTACTTATCCGAACAATTTTAAATTACACAACTTCTGGCGTTTATAACGTACTCGGAGTTTGTCAGAAAATTGTTCCTGTTCTGTGTCTCATTGTTACTCACTTATCTGGACCTCTTGATGCCAGATGTTAAAGTTCTTATTATCCGACGATACTGTGTAAACACTTAACAAAGTTTATACATTCTTCCAGTTATAACCATTTTTCTTATTTCCCGTCACTGTCTCAGCACAGTCCTGTCACTGTCTCAGCACAGTCCTGTCACTGTCTCAGCACAGTCCTGTCACTGTCTCAGCATAGTCCTGTCACTGTCTCAGCACAATCCTGTCACTGTCTCAGCACAGTCCTGTCACTGTCTCAGCACAGTCCTGTCACTGTCTCAGCACAGTCCTGTCACTGTCTCAGCAAGTCCTGTCACTGTCTCAGCACAGTCCTGTCACTGTCTCAGCACAGTCCTGTCACTGTCTCAGCACAGTCCTGTCACTGTCTCAGCACAGTCCTGTCACTGTCTCAGCACAGTCCTGTCACTGTCTCAGCACAGTCCTGTCACTGTCTCAGCACAGTCCTGTCACTGTCTCAGCACAGTCCTGTCACTGTCTCAGCACAGTCCTGTCACTGTCTCAGCACAGTCCTGTCACTGTCTCAGCACAGTCCTGTCACTGTCTCAGCACAGTCCTGTCACTGTCTCAGCACAGTCCTGTCACTGTCTCAGCACAGTCCTGTCACTGTCTCAGCACAGTCCTGTCACTGTCTCAGCACAGTCCTGTCACTGTCTCAGCACAGTCCTGTCACTGTCTCAGCACAGTCCTGTCACTGCCTCAGCACAGTCCTGTCACTGCCTCAGAACAGTCCTGCCACTGCCTCAGCACAGTTCTGTCACTGCCTCAGCACAGTCCTGTCACTGCCTCAGCACAGTCCTGTCACTGCCTCAGCACAGTTCCTGTCACTGCCTCAGCACAGTCCTGTCACTGCCTCAGCACAGTCCTGCCACTGCCTCAGCACAGTCCTGCCACTGCCTCAGCACAGTCCTGCCACTGCCTCAGCACAGTCCTGTCACTGCCTCAGCACAGTCCTGTCACTGCCTCAGCATAGTTCTGTCACTGCCTCAGCACAGTCCTGTCACTGCCTCAGCACAGTCCTGCCACTGCCTCAGCACAGTCCTGCCACTGCCTCAGCACAGTCCTGCCACTGCCTCAGCACAGTCCTGTCACTGCCTCAGCACAGTCCTGCCACTGCCTCAGCACAGTCCTGTCACTGCCTCAGCACAGTCCTGCCACTGCCTCAGCACAGTCCTGCAGCTGCCTCAGCACAGTCCTGCACTGCCTCAGCACAGTCCTGCCACTGCCTCAGCACAGTCCTGTCACTGCCTCGGCACAGTCCTGTCACTGCCTCAGCACAGTCCTGTCACTGCCTCAGCACAGCCCTGTCACTGCCTCAGAACAGTGCTAGGCAGTGCTTGTAAACAAGACGCCTCGGCCTCTCTACTGATAATAACTTCGTTTCAATAGAAACATAAATATATTTGTGTTGAGAGGCATCATTCTGAGTATCTTCCTTCATATATTTTGTCGCCATCTGCAAGAATGTTGTAACATTGCAACGTTGACGCTGCAGTTCAGAGGGTCATTTGAGACGTGTTGGCAGCATGCTTCTGGCAAGACAGTGACTGAATGAATGACGGTGGAAATGTTTCCTGTATTTTCTGTGTGTGTCGCTCTACCTCTATGGGAGACGACCGTTATCTAGAAAATTGCAAAAGTGGCAATACATCCGGAACAGACGGAAGAAGCGACAACAATGGACCACAATGGAAATAAGTCACTTTATCTGACTTTTTTAGGCTCTCCCAAGTTCTCTACAAGGATGCTGCTATGTATGATAATCT